TTGGGTCAAGGGGGTGGGAGGGGGGGTGAGGGTGACATAGGCTGTGAGTGATGTTTGTAAGTCGGGTACGTTGAGCACACATAACTGCGCATTAGGAGGTTGGGGGTGGCATGTAATCATCATCTGGGATCGGCGTTGGCCACGGAAGACAGAGCGCCTGTGCCAGAGTCTTCTGACAGCATAGCACTGGATTGGCTAGCCGTATAGTCGCTGCCTCAGCTGTAGCTGGGAAACCGGGTTCCCTGTTGCCCTAGCTGCTGGCTACCCCGTGCGTTCACAGGCGGCGCGTAGTGGAACGGCCTTCGGTGAGGATGGGCTGCGAAGTAAACAGACTGTCGGGTCTGACAAATAAACAGTCTCGGAAGAGCAGCAGCAATGCTACCAGGTGGCAGCAGTTTTGAGGTCTGGCACAGCGACAGCCTTATAAATTACCACAAGGACTGATGTAACACGGCGCCATTAAATAAGTTTGCTTGTCACTACTGCCTAGTGGCAAGACGGTTAGGGGAAAGCGCTAGGGGAGACTATCTCAAGGAACCAATCCAAGCGGCTATTGGAAACCTGACTGTGCGCAAAATTTCCAAGAAACCTCATTAAAATGTTCGATTCGTAGACATAGAAACGTGGACATGTGCCGATGTTGGCTCTCCGAGAGGCATCCGCGGCCTTCAGAAACAGACTGAGGTTGGGGGAGGGCGGATCGGCTACTGTTGGGAATGACTTTGGGCTGCTCGCCAGTGTCGACCAAAAATGTCTACCACCGTGGTGGTTGCGGGTGTAAAAGGTGCGACGCTGGTTAGGGCTTCGAGCGAGATTGACTGCGGTTATTTTCGCTAGGAGGACCGGCAGAACATAGTGAGGAACCTGAAGAAGGAGACACGATCGCTGGGACAAGAGCTTCATTAGTCTGACGTTTCGGATTCTTGCTCGAACCCATCATCAGAGACAGAAGCAGATACGGGTGGTTCATGCACAAGGGGCTGCAGTATTTATAAGATGCAGTCGCCATGCTACTGCATACCTATGAATGTTCACTGCTCCCTCCATCATTATCATGCAGCCCCTTGTGCATGAACCACCCGTATCTGCTTTTGTCTCTCTGATGATGGGTTCGGGCAGGAATCCGAAACCTCAGGCTAATAAAGCTCTTGTCCCAGCGATCATGTCTTCTTCTCCGCAACAGCTTCCTGGGACTCGTCTCTTCGCTTCTATTGAGTGTAGTGAGGAACCTTGGTATCACAGAAAACACTGCACCAGTAAACGTACCAGTAAGATGAAGGCAAATGTGTCAGAGACTGCAATTTCGTGGTCTTTGTCTACGTCTATGGCACTTCACAATCGTAGGTTACTAATCACCCTTCGAGTTCCACGCGCGCGCTCTCCCAACATGATCTGTTTCCACGCCGGCACACATGGAGTGCGTGCAGATCCTCGCGAAGCGTGCCCTTGCCCTAAGCCCTGACTTGGCATTGATGAATGGAGGTAGTCGTGGCGTTAATAACTGTGGCGAATTTAGTCCTACGGTGTGAATGACTTCTTGTCCTTTGGCATTCGTTCATAGGCCGTGGAAGGAGGACAGTTGATGCTCCGTGTCGATTCAAGTGGGTTGGGTGACCACAGTGTCCTGATGTCTTTACTTTGGACGTCCACATCAGAAGCAAGATTGTCGCATACGCACTTTGCTCAGTTTACCCTTCTTAGGAGAGGAGAGTTTTGGAGCGAGCCTAGATGTCAGTCTTGTGTAGAGCCAGTTCGCGGTATACGAGGTCCGTCTTCCTTTCTGACCGGTTAGTCACTAAGCCATCCAAAGTGGAAAGAATATTAAAGCCTGTAAAGTATAAAAAACTGTTTCTCTTCACTCTGTTGCGATCGGACGTAGCACGTCTAGGGATCTGATTTGCAGACATCTTTCCCCGTCTCATTTACAGCTGAGAGGTAAGCAGTACAATTTTGAATAGGTCTATGAAGACATCGAAAATGGTTGCCAAATCCAATGAGCAGCAGCTCCTTTGGTAGATCTGAATGAGTTAAACGTAGATAATTCATCTATGTGTGGTAGAAATCTGATGGATCCTAGCTTTATTGCTCACAATAGCTTGTCTGAGCAGTCGGCCTAATAAACAGAACCGCTGGCTTCCATGCGTCACAGAAGGTCAGGCGGAAACTTGGCCCAAGCATGAAGAAACTCAAGATCTTCGGTCGGGACCTCGTAGTTCAACCGTGAGAGCGCTGACCGTAGTAAAGCGCCACCGTTTCTGTCGCGGTTTCGAACCTTGTCGATGCTACTGGGTTTTCGTAGTCGCGTAGACAGTTTGTTTCTTCTAGGGCTCACGTCTGGTGTCGTAGGCAAACTCTGAGGAGTACCCTGGGTAGTCCACAGGACTGGGTGTGGCTCGTTCTGAAGCAAACTTTAGAGAGAGCGACAGAAATTCAAAGACCGTGTGGAGGCCAATACATAGAAGCCACCCTCATCTAATTCAGCTCACCAGTCGAGGGTAATTGTCCGAGTGTGGCCGTCAAGCAGAGTTCGGTTTCGTGAGACCACAGATGCGAACTGATTGCCAAGCGGGACGGGGGGAGTGCTGTGAAAGTACGTACCAATCTATTCGATCCAAATACAGCCCAGAAGCCCAGACACGCGTGTTTCGCCGATCTTGTGCCGATACATGACGCAGCTGCGAGGGGTTCGGCTTATCAATGAGGCCCCCAGCACGCCCCATGTGCTGCACTGGTATATAAACTCCAGTTTATATGCTGCCTTGCTTAATTCCCAAAGAAATTATTGCGCGAACCTGGAGTATATCTTTTGGCCCGGTCGTAAAGTCAGTATGAATATTTGGGTGGAAATCCACTGACTCATTTGATGAGCGTGCAATCTATCAGCACGGAAAGACCTACCAAGCGCACCACCGTACTTGGCGTGAGCACACAGCTGCAACAGGAATCCCTCTTCCATCCATCCATAGACTCCATGAATGAAATACTGCCCGTCTGCTTGTCCTTTCTATGTGAACTGCGACATTCGGAATTGGAGACATACTGATAACTGCACCGAATATAAACGAAACGGCTTTACGGTTGTGTTTTACTATTTAGAGTCCAGTTGTGGCAACAACCGATAACGTAATCCACGGGTGCTCGTTAACGAATCATCTCACCGGACATCTGCTGAGATTATTTTACCACTGGCTGATATTCTTCAGATAAAAATATCGCCTGCATGTAAACGAACATTTTTGCACACAAAACGATCCTCCAATTGCGCCTTTTTGTGGGATATGTTCACACTAGGAAAGCTGATTTTCCGCGAATCAACGTTAGTCAAGTATAAAGCAAGATGAACGATACACGCTGAGGTGTACTCTTCGACAAACGCCAAAATATCGAATTGCATGCAGGTCAGGTCTATTTTAGCAGTATTTCCTAGATTTCTAGGCGTTCTGTTGGAAGTACTATCCATGTCAGCGATTTAGACGAAACGTCAGGGACTTGGATAACAAATCGTTAGCTGGTCAGCCCGTTTCTGTTTTTCTAAACAAGTATTTAACTATGTCCTTTGAGGAATATCCGCCAAGTGCGTCTCGATCATTTTGGAAGAGGCAAGCAGCGTCATTGAACACGACGTTGAATGCGATAATTCTCGAGGAAGGTTATGAGTGTTTACACTCAACTCCTCCGTCGAAGTAAGACAGGTCCAAAATCAGAAGTTTTCCAAATAAAAGCCAGGACAGTAAGCAATGCAGCGGAGAGGGTACAAGCCGTCCAGAGGTCGGCGGCAGCAACAGTGTTCTACGAGCCACCAGCCAGCCGTTGTTGTTAGGCTCAACACGAGGTGCGCGCACACGCTTGAGCTTTGTCCGCCAACAACCAAGCAGCAAGGAGGCAGAAAGTCGGTTGACATCGGGTCATCACTGCTTGGGGCCGAGTTACATGCACCGCAGACGTTCAGTTAGGCGGACAGAAGATGATACGAGTAAGCGGCTCCACTAGTGACCGCAAGAACAGAATGCCACATATCGAGATGGACCGATATTCGCAAGTTCTCCTCTTGTATGTACACTGCTTTCTACGCTCTCCAACCCGGGCACCACCTGAAAGCAAATTCACGAAAATCGCGTATGCTTCGCTTTTAAAGAGCCAAGTGCCAACTCACAACTGCTGTACTTTCCTACAAGATGAATATAATCAGGGGCGTTTCTGGGCGCACTTTCTACAAGATATAATTGAATACGGGCAGAAATCATAACTAAATGAAAGAAGTGCACGGTAAGAAATGTAAAGAGGGAACCCCCCGCAGTAAAGGTGGCCTTGCGCTAAACTCCAGGGGGATTATGGTCAGGGTTAGTGTCAAGATTAGGGTTAGGACGCAGGAATGGCACTCTTCCTGAAATTTAGTGTAAGGCTTCACCCAATACAGAGAATTCCTATTCCCGTGTCTTACCATGTTTACAGTAATTAAGCAATCCTTTTTAGTGAGTGTCATTTTTTGCAGGTAGCTGGAGAGGTGCTCACACATATGACACCTGACACCTTTAAGATGCTTTGAGATCATACGTTGTATGTTATTAAGCAGTACTTTTGGCCGAAATAGTATTTTGCAGTTCCGACAAAAGTATTGTGAGTTTGGTTAGTGTGGTAGGCAGTGGCGGCTTTCACCCACCAGGTCACTATCACAATCCCCTATGCCCCACCTGTTCCCCTCTCCCGTGTGGAAATTGATGACGGCCTGCCTGCAGTCTTACCGAGTTGGGCAGATAATTATGATTGGCTAACGCGCACGAGCCAATTGAAAGTCGGCGTGGCTTACGTCAACTCTACCTCTCTCACTCCCAGCTGCCAGTTAACTACGTTGCCTCGCCTTTGATGGCATGCTGCGGGCGTGTAAGGCACGCCAGTCGTGGCGGCATCGGCGTCGACAGCTCCAGCCACACCTATTTCAACTACTGTAGGCACAATAAAGTGCTTATTGACGGACCACTTTAACGTTAACGGCTGCCACAATGCGGGTACCAGATAAGCTCGTTATATTCACGCCCCACTCGCTCGTACAAGACAGCCGTCTGAACGGAATCCGCTCTGACGATCGACTCAAACACTTTGCCGATGTAATAGCTTCTCGGGCTCAGACGGAACTCCATGTGCCCTGTGTTTTGATAAAAGCCACAGAGGAGCAGGAAATTAACAAGTCCTTCGAAAATCTTCAGCGATTCCTGGCTGGTGCCAACGCAGCTATTCTAGTGGTGTCTGGTGATCATGCGCACATCCTAGACAGCCTCTACCCAGTGCTTCTTGTTTTTCTGACTGTCAATCCGCAATGGAGGAAGCAGCTGCTCCTTGTCTTCCTAGGTGATCCGATAAGGATGGAGAAGTTTGAGCCTTCTGTTTTCGAAAACGAACCGGTCATATTTCAGCGAACGTCCACTAATGACTGGGCTGATAACCAACAGAGTTGGAAAGAACTGATGAATGGTATTCACAGTGAGTGCCTCCTTTGTCTAGTTATATTACCTGTCGTCATTCTCCTTTAAGTGTGCGCCTTTTGAGGTGTTAGAGGCAACCAGCTATTGTCTGCGTAAGTGCAAAGAACGACTTCTAATTAATCATGGTCCTTAAGATACTGTTTGAAAGGATAACCGTTTCTGACAAAGGATTATTGCAAGTAATAACTGCTGTATAAAAGTATAAAATTCAGTGGTTATAATTCTCAAATTTTCAATTTCTTTAAGCCATCTGCACACCTTCTGAACAAGGATGCTGAGAATTGGCTTTGGGGTTCTTACACTTGGCTCTTACAGCCTGGTGACGGTCAGTTATACATCACTTTTTTGGACGTAGATAAGAGCGAGTTTAAAAGCAACACTAAGGGGGTACATCACTAGAAACTCTATGGAGACCGTAAATTTTCTAATAACCAAACATTCTTCAGCTTAAACAGACTATAGAAAACGGTAGAGCTTTGAAAAGCAGTACCGGCTATCCTAAAAACGGGCTGAACTGAACAGTCACAACGCATATCTCCAGACGGACATGAGCCGCCGACGTCCAGCTTCTATTTCGAACAGAGCTGCCGTCGACAAGCCTGTCAAAATGCCGAAAACTTCAACTCACGCCTGCCAGCCAGAATGAGCACAGAAAAGGCGGCGTGACACATAAGATGTCACAAGATTTCCTAGAAAATCCCCTTGGAGCAGAGGCCTCCCAGACAGAGTCCTCAAAGTTTTATATCACCAAAGAGATAAAGGTTCCTGAAAGAAAGTTATAATTTGGTTGATAAATTATCATTTTATTACAAAATGAGAAAATTGATGTTTCAGTGAGAGTCAGGGATCCAGAAAATGGTCATATTAAAATTCACTTAGCTAAGGTTTAGCAAGACAGCACAAAGCGGGGAGAAGTGCGGCTTTAAGTAAACCAATCCAAAATACTAGCAGACACAGAGTATGAGTACTTGGTTGGCAGCTCTTTTGAATGGAAAGCACTGGTAAATCTGACGACAATTCAACCGTCGCTGCCGATGATGTCCACCGTGTGCCCTACAGCAGGCTGAGAGTAGGGACGATGACTTGCGTGTGAATTCGTTTATAGTGGTAGTAGACTTGCAGGCATATGCCGCACCCTCTCCTCTTCCCCTACCTGGGCCCGGTGTCAAGACAGAGTCAAGAAGACCGGAGGCGGGGGAGGGTGCAGGTGGATGGCATGGCCGAGCCCGCACCTTGGCGCTCCACTCCACACCCCCTGGTCCACAACAAACACTTGACCAGGATTTTAACGAACAACGAAAATGGGGGGGAGGCAGCATGGGGCCCAATGTATGCGACTTCTGCTGACAACCGGGTCTGTCACCACACTCCGAAATTTTGGCATCTGTCATGGTGTGCATTCCGCTAACGACTTCCAGAGTCCGATATGGCCCCCGTGTTGGTCCAGCGCATCTACCGCGTGGCCCGTTTGAGGGCCACAGCAAATCTGACACGATAGTCCGACCGCCGTTGCCGACGATGTCCGCCATGTGCTCCATAGTAGGATGAGAGCAGAGACGGTGACTTGTGCGTGAATTAGTTTATAATGATAGTAAACTTGCATACTCTCTCTCTCTCCCCACAACTAGGCCCGGTGTCAAGACAGAGTCAAGAAGACCGGAGGCGGGGGAGGGTGCAGGTGGATGGCACCTTGGTGTTCCACTCCACACCCTCTGGTCCACACAGCAAATGACCAGGTTCTGAATCAATAACAGCAACAATGGGGTAGGGGAGAGGGCCCCAGTGTGCACGATGTCTAACGGCAACCGGGTCTGCCACCGAACCCCGAAATGTTGGTATTTGTTATGCTGTGCAATCCGATATGGTCCCCGTGTTGGTCCAGCGCATCTATCAAGCGGCCCGTTTGGGGGGCACGGTATCCAATGGACGTCGGTTAATGCCATAGTAGTCGAAGGCACTATTCCCAATGTCGATAAACACCTTGCTGCTGCCAGTGTCTGATGAGGACCATCAGATTGGCTGCTCTCTGAATCTTATGATCTTCAAAGGCATCAGGCCCAAACAATTATTGAAATTCATCATTGGCACGGTGTTCTTCTAGGCGGTATATCCTGCATATATGACCACCTCACCCGTTCTCGCAGACTTGTCTGCAAGACCTCATCGCAAAAGCAACTGCCTTTTCAGGATGAGAGTTGACGATCAACCTGTTCCTTAGCAAATAAAAACCGTCTCTAGACAGGCTGCCACTTAAAAGCGTAGTAGTCACAGCGCTTCGCAAGTGAGTAAACATTCCCTCATCCTTTCTTAAATAACTCTCAAGAGAAAACTGCGAACTGCCCTCTGAATATGGTCTTAAGAGATATACTAAAACTTTTTATCGTCTGAAAAGTAAAATCACCGCCTTACCTACATGTGGCGTGGTTCTGTCGCCAAATTTCTGTTACAGAGTGGACTTACCAATACTGCAAATACTTTCCAACGGTCCAGGCAGCAGCCTTTTTGCTAATTCTCGCATTGGTTCAGAGTCGGTGGCACCAAAAACCCCTCTCCATCTTCTTATCGGACTGCGCGAAAGAGAAGGGTGATGGGGCGCAGTGGGCACTCCGCACATGCTCGTTTACGTCGAACAATTTTCAGTGCAGTTAAGCGACCTCTTATCCACCAAACATAGTACTGTTTGCTGGGACACAAAATGCCAGCAATTTGTAAGGCATAAGTTCTAAAGTCGGATCCACTCCTCCTTTCTTGTAAAGAATAGTTTTTCATATCTGCCCACACCCGGCTTTCACAGACGCAAAATTCGAATTTTTGGCTCTAGAAGGTGCCTTGTCTGAATGCTTGTCGTTTGTATTAATGCCTCTTTACGTCGGAATACGAGTGAAGTGCAGCAGCTCTGGAGCGAACTCCGTACCCGAATTAGACATTTAACACCTCAAACAAAGTAACCGGGCGGAAATATCGTCAGCCCATTTATTTTCCTTTAGCTGTCCGAATTTCACTCGTAGCATTTCGTGGGCCATGTCAATTTCTGTATAGTGCTTTTTGATAGAGTCAAAGGCGGGACGCCAATAAATCGGGAGTTGACTGCTCGGCGTAAAATAGGGAGATTAGCGATCCTGGTCCATCTGTTGGCACTCTTATTATTGTTCTGTGAATGCTGATTTCTCACATTATTTCCTGAGTTTGTATAATTTAGCTTTGTTCGAACGAAACCAGTTGATTTGCTTCGAAATTTTGTCTACTGTCTCTGATGAAAGGGACTTTGGTGATAAACAGGGAGATCAGCATATTTTTTTAAATCAGGACAGTTAAAACAAGGGTGTTGGCTTCCGATTTCTATGTGTACTTCATGGCGACAACTTTCCTCATGTGATCCTTCCGACAATATTAGGTAATGCCCAAGTCCGCCTTCTTCCTACGTCCCTTCTCAGCAACGTCGTTGACATAAGTGTTATCTCCACCATTACGGATAGTAACAGCATAGTGTAAGCAATCGTGCGAATGGAAACACCGTATACCTCCGCGCTTGACGAACTTACTTCTTTTTTAAAATATCTGGGGAACTACACACAGAAGAAGCAATCAACAGCACTATGGGTTGATATGTAACGAGCCCTGCATTCAGCACCTCTCACTAACTGTATACCCAAAGATAAACGTAGCCTTGCCAAGCCTTATTTAATCGCTGATTGGTCATATTCCTGTCAGTTGAGTGGTTAAGCCACATTTATTCGTGTTCTTTCATCCCCTCGTTTATGGCCACAGCGCATGTTGCTCTACGTTTCCAGGCCATTAACTAGCGTCGGCAGATTGGGATTGTGTTTACAAAGTGTGGCCTTGCTTCGTCGGTCGAGAGTCCTCACAGACAGTCGCCTAGCGTGTTGCGTATTATTTCCTGCGCTCGGGCCAGAGAGGTCAGTTCCATCGCCAGGCGAATTTGAATAGTCACGACGACAATCGAGGGGCGCATATCCGTGGCACAGCCAAATGAAACTCGTAGCCGTCTAAAATGTCATGCATTCCCTGCGCGAACTCGGGGGGCGAAGATGACAGACGAGGACCAATAAGACGGAAATACCAGCACCGGTCTCCCAGTTTTTTTTTCTATGGGTATTGCAAATGGAAACACCCAAGGTCTTAGAGACTGCTTGTAGAATAGAGATGTTTGACCGCTTACGAATTCTCTCGATCGTCTTTCGGAAAAACTGCATAAACTTTGTCGGCAGTCTCGTGTGAGAATGTACAAACGGTATTTTATGATTAAAGTCGTCCCCTGAGAAAAAATATCGACTAGCCATAAACGTTCCCAGAAAAGGATTGTCCTTTGATTGAGTCTGTTTCTGATTTCAGTTAGCAAAGTGGAAGAGACTAGATTAAACGACCTCATTTTTATGAGAGAAGCCTTGTGAAAAGAAAATTTGATAAGATGTGGTTTGGTAGCCCCATCTGATGGACACAATACTGTTGGGGTTGGGGTTAAGGGTTATGGTCAAGCGTTAGGGTTAGGGTTGAAGGTTAGGGTTGGGGTTTGGGGTTTAGGATAAAGGGCTATAATTAGGGGCTGGGGTTAGGGTTAGGAGTTAGCGCAACTATTTCTCAACTATTGAAAGTACAACCACGCACTCACACTAGCTTTTCTTTTGCATTCAATTACTTGACCTCGTCGCCTGTGCGTTCCCCGGTCCCACCTGTAAAAAACCCTATCACCACCGGTCCGCACCGGTCCCCTATGAGAGGTGCCTGGGGTTTGTTTACTTCAGGTGGGGCTGCCAAACCACATAAGACCAAAAATTGTTCCCGAGTTAGACACCACTATCCTCAACCTACACGTTAATCTTCCACGCTGGAGGCAATCCAAATGAGTAATATCCGCATGTACAGCCTATATACTTAGGCAGGGTTTTGGATCACAGTCTATGTGTGGAACACTGCTCCGATTTAAAACAATTAAAATAACAGTTTTTACATAACACCTCGGACAGTCTGTCTTAGCAACAACCCCTCCAAATGACCTCACCAGTCAGGAAGTTAATGCAACAAAATTCCGTTCCAATCACTTTCATAAGCGTTTCCCCCATCCACAACAATGGTACTGTACTCTCGTAGGGAATCAGATTGAGTCTCTACGTTCCAAATACATCAAGCAATTGGATAAGAAGGGTTTTTTCCAGAAAATAGTGAAAATATTATATGTGTGAAGGGAAATCGCTAGACTGAGAAGAACCTGCAGGACACGATTCAATAAGGGAAGAAGACAAATCGTCGCGGTTGCGTCAGTTTGTGTGCAGGTATTTGACCACTTAAATTTGGGTCACAGTAACTGCGGGGTCTGTTAGAAGTTCTATCAGAATACACTTTGTAAACTGCCTTACCCGCCTAAATGGCATCCTCTAGGTGGTCGCTGTCTACCCGATCAAAAAAGTCGATCTGATGCTCTTTTTAATTTTACTTTCCCCAACATGCTTCCTCACTAAGGTCAGCTTCGCAGGAGCAGATGGAAGACTGAATATAAATCTAGATCATCTGAAGTGGCTGTTTGCATTTGTCTCAGCAGTGGAACTGGGCCTATAAAGGACTGTGGGGGAACTTTCCCCTGGGAGAAAACATGTGAGGAAGACGAAGCCAACCGTAGCATTTATATCTATCTGGGATGTCACTTTGGAAAGACGGTTTTGCAAAGAGTATATTACTTCCGGAAGTAATCTTTATGAATTCTGTATTCTTACTTGATAGCTTATTGTTAGTAACCACTCAACCTCAGTATCTGATGATGCCTCCTTACATCTTATCGCATGCAGTCTGGTGCATAGGTCCATTTTGGTCCGTTTGACCAATAACAAATCAACTTCCGTTTACGACTGAGGTTTACATAACTCTTAAAATCCATATACTACTCAAACAGGCTTTTTCTTGTCGAGGTCTCTTCTCTTTGTTCACTGAAGCCATCTGCTTGAAAGAATATCTAGACACGGATTCGGTTCGTCACTTGCAGGCTGATTGCTATTCGGAGCAAAAAGTATTTAATTAAAGTCAGTTTTGTCAGGTCGTTGACGAGGAATACCTATTCGTAGACAGATTACCCAGATAGAAAAAGACGCCAGAATGCCCGCGATTATTGAGAGGTTTCGTGAATTTAACTTTTGACCCTTAGAAACAGGCAGAACTATGGCTGTCAGATGCTATCCTCATAAAATATTTTACCTCACATATAGAGAGACATTACAAGCCTATGGCGTAAGAAGGATTGCGCCACGATTCTGCGCAGACACCTATTTTTGGATATGGTTTCCGATTACCTCTAGGCTTTTATTCTTAATTTTTGACCTCAAAATATAGCAGCCACCCTTGTTTACTTTTTGGCCTATTTGAGTATTTCTAATGCGAAAGGCTTGTTTTGAGTTTGTCTCCGTGAATCTGATTAGACGGTTAAGTATTCCCACCGTAGCATATTATAGGGTTCTTTAAAGTTTTGCTCAATTCTGAAATAACGCATGCCTGTTAATTAGGTCTGTTTATTGCCACTCACGCCCTAAGCATAGCAACGTACACGCCCAAAAAGAAATGATCTTAAGTGCGCTCTGTGCACATGGGGGGCAGCAGTTTTGTAGAGCGTGCCAAGCCTCCTTCGAGGCCTCCTGATCTTCAAATCAAGGTTCTTCTCCGACGCGCCCTACGTCTAAAAAATACTGTGAGCACCAGGAGACAGGTATCCAAGTCAGCCGCCCCCCCCCATGACGCCACCGATGGCACATTTGAATAGCGCCCAGCAGTAGATTTGTTCACTCCGCCTGCTGGCAAGCAAAGTGAGGATCCACTCAGACTTACACTTTCAGCTCATATTGCCTCCGTAAATCGATTATGCCCAAGTACGCATTAAAGCAGTCACTGTCAGGTGTTGTCAGAAATAAAAAACACGCTCGTCAAGCAGACGTATTCCTTTAGGTGAAATCGTTTGCTTCTTCCTTCTGGTCAGCTTGACGTTCTGCTTTTTTTTTAAAAAACTCCGCCCCGTCCGTTTTAGATACTCAAATACCGGAAGGCGCTGAGGAGCTGGAGACTCCCAAAAACAACTTCTTCCGCAGCAGAGCCATGTTCGCTGTTGCGGCCGCAGTCGGACTGGGTCTCCTCTACAGATATCGAAATGGCTTCTCTCACTAGCGACCCATCCACCAAACCCAAAATAAAATTCTTATATTCTGAACACACACACACACATACGCCCCTGACTTTCCTCTACTACAAGTGGCATTCTGCTCTGGCTTCTCTTGGTTCAGAAGAGGGCAGCTGCAGAGGTGACTTTCAATGAACTAGTAAAAAGGAGAATGCTCCCGAACTCCAGACTCCTGGGACTAACCGTTTAGTAAAGCAGGCCGTCTGTGTTTTAATTAGCAGAACATACAGCTGGATCTGCAGACACGAAGCTGGAACCTTCTGACCCAGAGTTCATTGCTGGAGGAGAATAGAAGGAATAGACAAAACTACTTATTACAGTTTTATCCGTCAGCAGCATCACATTTAGCAAAACAACAGAACATAAAATGGAAGTGGTCAGCGGCCCGGGTGCGTCTAGGACAATATGCCTTTTGTGCTCACACAGGCGTACCTTCTAAATACCATTGACGACAATGCTGAGTCGGTACAGGTTTTGGGAATAAGTAAGTAGGTTTTCGGCCTAAATTGATCAAATTTACCTTGCGGTAACGAAGTAGGATTAACAAGCATAGTGCATCCACCTCATGTCCGTCGCAAAAGGAAGTGGGAATGAGCGACTAATTGGAGGGAAAAAGAAGAAAGTTGTGGGGCAGGTGTTTTCCTTACCTAGTTGTACCTCAGCGACATCGGTGGTTGTTTATTTGCAGTCACACCGTTCTAGTGGTCGGTCTCTGAAAATGGGTAGACGAAACACCCACTCGAAACGTCAGACCTCCAATACACTTCTCTCGATGAATGCCTCCTTTACTGCTGTAAGCCTTGTGTGTCTGCTTACAACCACTGTCTAACTGTTGATTATGTTGCAACTGCAGCTTTTAATCCCCGCAGAAATTAATTGCTAAATTGGAGCAGATCAGTATATTTAAGGTCTATAGGCTGAGGCTGAAATTTGATTGTATGAATATTTGGGCCGAAGTCCATCAGTCACAGCGGAATAGCCGCGCAATATTCCTAAACTGTGAAAAGGCAGCCGGTGGTATATACAATAGGTGAGCTAACTCATGAAATGCCAACCGAAATTCAAAAATGCGTTTTCGATCCGAAAAGATTAGTTAGATAGGGTTGTAAAACAGATAATCATGCAGCATAGTACCATAATAATTCAATTACCTCAGGATGCCGGCTTTCGAACGAACTCCTTTCCGACCGCATATAAAAACCATACTCTGTAAAAAATCCCCACCTACAGTAGATGTGCTAACTCATGAAATGTCAACCAAAATTTCGAAATGCGTTCTCGTTTCGAAAAGATAGATTAAGTAGTGTTGTAAAACTAATCATGATGCAGCATAAATCTATAATGATCCAGTTACCTCAGGGTGTCGGCTTTCGAAAGAACTTATTTTCGGCTGCATGCAAGATCTATACTCTGCAAAAAATGACTACTTATTTAGTATGCAATTTTCTCATTGATTTTCGATGCCCTTGAAAATTCAATTATATTTCATGGAAAACATGCATAAAAATATACATTCTTTACTTATTCGGTAGAAAATCACGTCTTCTTCCAATTTCATACTCAAAAGAAGAGTATAATTCAGTTTTAAAAAAGTTTCTAATTGTGAGATTTTTTAATACCGTTAAATGGCCGTTCATGAAACGTCATGTATCTGCATTTACGAATGTGGCTTGTAAAGTTAACAATATTGCTCAATTCCACTGCTTAATTTTATGAACCTCATATGGTCTCCTCTTCACACCGTAGAGAAATGCATGGTTTTCCGTACACGGAAAATATACAGCTTGTAGTTTTGAAACCCTGAATGCAAGTGTAACAGCAGGTCGGGTTCAAAATTATTCGCGAAATAGAAAAGTTTTTTAAAACCGAATTATACTCTTCTCTTGAGTATGGACTTGGAAGAAGACGTGATTTTCTACCGAATAAGTGAAAGAATGAATATTTTTATGCATATTTTCAACGAAATATAATTGAATTTTCAAGGGCATCGAAAATCAATGAGAAAATTGCATACTAAATAAGTAGTCATTTTTTGCAGAGTATAGATCTTGCATGCAGCCGAAAATAAGTTCTTTCGAAAGCCGAAACCCTGAGGTAACTGAATCATTATAGATTTATGCTGCATCATGATTAGTTTTACAACACTACTTAATTTATCTTTTCGAAACGAGAACACATTTCGAAATTTTGGTTTACATTTCATGAGTTAGCACATCTACTGTAAGTAGCATGCATTTTTCTCACTGATTATCGATGCCCTTAAATACTCAATTATATTTCATGGGAAACATGCATAAAAATATCAATTATTTAACCCATTAGGTAGAAAATGACGTCTTCTCCCAATTTTATACTTGAAGGAAGAGTATAATTTGGATTTTAAAAAAGTTTATAATTGTAAGATTTTTTAATGCTGTGAAATGGTCGTTCGTAAAACGTCATGTATCTGCATTTACGAATGTAGCTTGTAAAGTTAAAAATATTGCTTAACTCCACTGCTAAATTTTAGGAACCCCATACGGCCTACTCTTAATACCGTATAGAAATGTACGGTTTTCCCTACACGGAAAATACACGGCTTGTAGTTTGGAAAACCTGAATGCAAGTGTGACGGCAGGTTGGGTTCAAAATTATTTCTGAATTGGAAACGTTCTTAAAAACCGACTTAAGCCCCTCCTCCGAGTATAAAATTCGAAGAAGACTTAATTTTCTACCGGATGAGTAGAAAAATAAATATTTTTATGCATGTTTTCCATGAAATATAATTGAGTCTTTAAGGGCGTCGAAAATCAATGAGAAAAATTCATGCTAAGTAAGTAATGATTTCTCTACAGAGTACAGTTTTTACATGCAGTCGGAAAGAAATTCTTTCGAAAGCCAGCATCCTGAGGTAATTGAATTATTATGGCATTACGCTGTATGGTGATTCGTTTTACAACCCTACCTAATTAATCTTTTTGGAACGAAAACGTATTTTGGAATTTCGGTTGACATTTCATGAGTTAGCCCACCTACTGTGTGCACATGAGTTGTAGGACATTCGGTACTTGACAGCACAGGTACTAGCTAAAAGCCCAGGCAAGTTTGTCGTATATATTCGTTGAAAGTCTGCAATTTCGGAACTGGAGTATCTACTAGAAAGCACACAAGAAACGCCGAGGGACCCGCTGACGAGTCGAGTCCCTCGCAGCTGTACCGTCCTGAGATGAGCGCAATTTTTACTTGCACCAGTAGTTTACGGTATGTCGGAATATGTGGGGCAAATCGTATCTTCTCCAACGCCCTGCAGTTGGGGAAATTGTGAGGACTGTGGTCTTTCATACCTCCTCCTCCTCC